CCATATTTTGATCTGTCTCTCGGTCAACCTCAGCGTCCTGGCCAAATCGATGCGCCTTGCCCGGTTCAAGTACTGGTTGGCAAATTAGGGTGACGTGTCCCCGGGAGGCCGTACAGTTCCGGGCATTTATATTACCGACCGCGTGATTTCGGAATTAACGCGTAATTGTATGCACCGTAAAAATCCGGAAAAAAAAAATTAAATAGCCGACCGTTTTTTCGGGGAAAATAAAATAAGTGAACCGTATTTTTACCGACCGTGGTGGTACGTGAATCTACCTGGCCGATTCCGGTAGACAAAAGTAATATGCGAACCGTATAATCACAGAAAGTATAATTCCGGAATTCGAAAATTTAAAAACCTACCGGGAAAATGAATACCTTCATATAATTATTCAGAATCTGAAAATATATTCAATCTTTTTACACAGTTGTGTTGAGTTACTTCTTGTCTACAATATTCAATTACAATACAGTGAATATCATTCTTATTTATTTTTTAACAAGCCATTAACTTTTTTTTTTTTTTACCCAGCCGGGGCGATATTGATTTGCAATGGGGCAATGCCGATACACGGTATAGGAGGTACTTAACCTAAAATAAATAGATATCGACGATTAGGTACGCATTATAAAAACTGATAAACAATCGGTATTACCCCGGTATTGCCCCAAAGCATAATTTTTACAAAATTGTTGATTACTTATACAATATTATTGGATACAATTAGGTTAGCGACTGCAAAACAATCTTTACGAGTTGTAGATTCATACTAGACGTGTATGATAGTTGTAGTATAGTTTCATCATTGTTTAATTTTACAAAATATGTAAATATAATAATAATTACCTACAAAATGTTCGTTATCGAACAACAATTAGAAAGGAAAAAAAAAACCTTGTAACAGTGATAACAACATGTTTTATGATAAGAAATGAAACGAATCTAAAACTGATAATTTTCATCCGTAGAATAATGTGTTATAAACGATATCAGTTTTGCCCCCGTATCGGCTTTACCCCGCGTTCTCCTAATTATATACAGAATAACTCATTAAATGTGCTCGCGTAATTTTTCGGTTAAATTTTACATGCGTTCAAATTCTGATTTTTCGGCATTTTTAAGTGCAGTTAAAGCCGACATTTTCGAATACTCAGATTTTTCACAATATTCAAAGAGCAATAAAAAAATAACGTAAAAACATTGTGATCGAATGGCGAATACTCGTAAACAAATAAACGCGCTGCCCGGAGTATTGTGTTACGTGCGTTGCGAAAATTCATCGTCAGGTGGTTAGGGGCTGGGTTCGGTTAGGCCGAGCGCGACTTTTGACTTTTGCGATTGTACCCGACGATGAGTTTGTCAATTCGAAACCGGTCGTACAATACACACGTATCATTATAGTCCGGGCGACGCGTTCGTTTATTTATTTATTTATTTATTGATACGTTTAAGGAGCATCCGATTGCGACACTGATTTCGGTTTTTTCAATTGAGAACCCACGGCGAGCACGCTTGGCGAATCGCCCTGTATGCGCATAATTTATATTATCATAAACAAAAAAAAAAAAATCATCCGAGATTTTACGGCGTTTACACAAACCACCGTTATCAATATTGGGACGCGACATTTTTTTTTTTTTAAATTCTCCGTAAGAACATTCGGTACCGTTATATTATTGCCGGTCGTGCACTCGTACTGATTAGCACCTCTGCGTGCGCGACGGGTGTACGTCGTCTGCCCGCGGGAAAGGACCGCAATACTCTCGCGGCAGACCGACAGTCGGTGCGGTAATATTCCGTCGAACGGTGAGGGACGCTCGCGGACGATCCGACAACGGCCGATCGGAAATGTCGCGGCGAAGAACGTCCGCCGACGATAGAGTTTCGATTGGAGTTTCGATCTCGAAACGAGTTGTGTCAATAGGCTCACGGAAATTTAGGACGGGGGGGTGGCCGACCCGAAATAGCTGTGGCGATCAAAGGCGTGGGAGAAGTAGGAAGAACGGCGACGGGTACTTATCGGTTTGCGTGCGTGTGTGCGTGCGTCATTTGTTGCGATTATTATTGCGCGGACGTAAAATCGAAACGGTTCGGTCCGGGAAATCGTAAAATTATTTAATTTACCGACACGGTACGAAAACGCGATAACAATTAGGTGATAACCCTCGCGAGACCGGCCGCGGTTGGTGTATTATTGTTATTATTATTGCTGCGGGTGTGCCGGACAACGGCGGCGCGCTCTCCGTGACGCGCGGAAAAACCAAAAACATCCCGAACGGATAAATAAGTAGTGGCGGTCGCCGCCGGTCGCCGCTAGCGTTTCAATTCCGTGCGTGAACTGCGGAATTTCGCAATACGGTGCGAAGCCGTGTGATTATTGACTGTCGCGTTCGTCCGCGTCGATTAACCGTCTGCCGGGCGATTTCAATTATTACAGAAAAACGCGGCGACAGCGTGGGATGCTTGTGGCCGAAAAACGAGAAACTACAATGTCAAAAATATATTCCGTACTAATTTCTCGTTCCGGAACGTTTTTAGCGCTGAATTTCAAACCGAATTGTTCGTCGAACTTGAAAATATATTTATCATTTGGTATCGACTCTCGTCGAATAACCGCGGACGGATTAAATCGCATATTAACGGGAACACGTTATTCGCTTAACATCGCCACAGTTGTCGACCACCGCAACTACACCGGGCATGTTAAAACGGTGACGCGGTTATGAAAAACTATCGCGGATGACTAAACTGTGTATAACGACGAAATTAATAGAAACTAACAAGTGTTTGACCATTTGGAATCGTAAACGATTGTGAACCAAGATGTTTTTTCCGGGTTTTTCTCGTACGAAATTTAAAAAGTTACACTGTTGGTATTTTATAATGCGAAAAAATTAGGCAAACTATTTTTTAAAAGTCGCGAAAAAAATCACGGTGGTGAATGTATTTAGTGAAATAATTCCTACCCGCGTGTACGGACTCTGTATTTGAAAGTACTCGGGGGGGGAAAGGAAATGTTCGCACGAAAAACGGAATTTCGCGACTATAGTAGCGCGTCGGAGGATTTCGTAAAGGTAGACAATATTATTAAGTTTAAAATTGGTTTCGGGAGAACCTAACCTTTATAGGTATTTTTTTTTTCAACCTGTAGATTTACATTAAAAAAAAAAAACCTGTCATTTTAAAATTAGAATACTTGAATAGCATAGCAAAATGTACAGGTTTTTTTTTTTTTCATCCGCTGTCGTGTAACCAATAGTAATTTATAACATGGAAAACGAAACCGTAGGGGGGGGGAGCTATAACGTTATTATTTATTTCTCTATAATATCCTCCCTCAATCCGAAAAAAAATGGTAAACAACACACTGTACTGGCCCGTTCAGAGGGGGCCATCGACGACCCGAGGGGCCCCAAGACCCGCGATGAGTAACGTTTAAAACGAAAAAAAAAAAATTACGCGTGCACAGGAATAGCGGCCGTTCGCTAGAATCTTGCCCGGGCCACATAACATCACTGAACGGACCCGCACGGGCGTGTACGACGGGCGACAGACTTACCGGTGTACGGTGGCAGTGTGAACGTTTGCGGGTAGAAAGTCTCGTATGGGCCGGTGTTGCAGTACCCGTAACCGGAAATCATGTTGTCGAAACCGTTCGCGGGCGAATGGTGCTGATGGTGACCGTGGTGATGGGCGGACGACGTAGCGTGCATGTCGTCGTTGTCGGGCGGCGTGGGCTCGTGTTGCCGGTGCGACTGGTAACTGGTGGTGGTGACCGACGACAGGTCTGACAGCGTACTGCTGCTGTTGTTGCTGCTGGACACAATGACGGTGGTCGGTGCGCCGCCGGTTACGGAGGTGGCGGGTGTCAGGCCGCCGTCTGCAAAAGGAAAAAAAAAAAAAAAAAAAAAAAATAAATAATCAATTCCGGTTAAATCGGGAGCGCTATAAAAGGCGACGGTCGGTCTCGTCCGAAATCCCCAATGACAATACTATAATAATAATAATAATAACAATAATAATAATAATAATATTATTATTATTATAACAACACCGAAAAAAACAATAATTTTATAATGAAATTGCGAATATATTCTCTTATCGGATTTATCGCGGATCGTACGGGAATTTATTAATAATTATCGTCGCGGTAGGTATATTATTATAATTATCATACAGAGCGATCGGAAAACAATCGTTTAAAACGAAAAAGGAGGCACGCTCACCGTCGTCGTCGTGATGTTGACCGCGGTCCAGGTCCAAAAGGTTACCGAAATTCATGCTGTCCATTATTTAATTTTTATTCGTATAACAATAATAACAATATTAATAAAAATAATAATAATATTCAACACTCCGAGGAACTGACTGTTGCTGGTGCGTTGCGCTGTTGGTGGTGTCTTCTAGACTGACGAGTCGCCGTGTCCGGCACGCTCCCGTCCCGGTACAAGAAATTCATGTTTCCCGGTGGAAGGGGGCCGGGCCGGTAAAATGATATGCAAAACACCTCCCGTCGATCGGTTTCACCAATAACAGACCGCGGCCTCGGGCTACCTGTTTGTGTTTACGCGTGGCGCCCAAATCGCGCGCACGCACACACCCGATAACGACACGCATGCACGTCTTGTTCAACATACAATGTACAATAATTACGTATAACGTATACAGGCGCACACCGGTGTACAATACAGTTTGTATAATATTGCTGCGCACGTTTATTATTCGGTCGGACCCGTCTGCCTCCCACCCTCATCCCCCCCCCCCCGGGGCTGTTTTGCACGGGTTGATTTACATCATCTTTCTCGCGGTCCAAAATTTATCATCGGGAAACGAATGTCAACGGTACGAAAATCAAATTGATATTACAAAAATGAAACATTCATAGTGTCGTTGATCGTGAGCAAATTACGAATTTGTCATTTACCGAGTTAGTTACGCGCTGAGATAAATACGATTTGTATTAATATTACGGTTTGAGCGGCATAAATGGGCAATGATAACAGTGTACCGTGAGATATTATTTTTTTCGGTTTTCGAAAAACTGTTTGAAATTATACCTACGCGGTATACCAGTATGCGATTTTTCAACATGTTTACCGGGTACGGCACATAACATATAGTGCAATGTACCTACCCCGTGAGAACGCCGCTGCTTTCTGGACTAGAACTGTGTGTAGGAAATATTATCCGGAACGCGCAACGGGCCAAAATCACGGGGAGAGATTGGACAGGTACGTCCCGCTCTCGACCTTTTTTGTTCATTGGGTAATTTTATTAGAATTTATTTCCAAATTCAAAATTCTACATAACGTTATGCGTCCGAACCGGATTTTACCATAGGGTCGTGCTCAACGGATTCGACGAGAACGCAAGTTTCAGGGAACAATCTAAAACTTTATTGAACGCCGACGCGACACCGAGAAAAATGTTGTGCTGTTGAAAACAATTGTGTGCGTTGCTGGAAATACGTTTTTTGTTTTGAATAATTTATCCAAGTCAATCAAACTTTTTGAATTAAAATAATAACGTACGGATATTGAACGTTTGGCTGTGCAGACCACTGTTGCAACCTTCTGTAACATTGTATAATAGTGAATCTGTAACGGAAATTAAACATTTATCCGAAACGTCCGACGGGACTATGGTAATGTCATTACACTTCTTACGTTTTAAAAGTTATCGACAAAACTTACAATTGAATTTAATTACAATATTCTCGATATGACTAGGCGATCGATCGACTCGAACCATAGCGTAAGAAAACGAATAATTTTCCGGACATGAAATGCCTGATAGTATTTTGACGCTCTGCTGCAGACGCGACGGTCGTCAGTTTATTATTCTTCGGCAAAGTTTTTTTTTTCCCGATATATGTACCGGCGACTGACGACCGTCGCGTACCACCGTTAAAGTTTTTATCCGTTGTTTTCGTGTCGGCCGATCCGCGAAACGCCACACTCTATTCTAGTCCGCGGGTCCTGTACTCATAACTATAATAAGTTACGGCCACATGCCAAAACAGTACTGTTTGTGACTTTTTTTTTCTGTTTAAAGTCGTCGACTTGAACGTTTTCGACAAAGCGGGCAGTTTCGTCGACAATAACCGCGAACGAGTTAGCCGGTATTACGTGAACGCAATAATCGTAACAATGTGTTCTTTTCGTTTAAACGTCTCGCCGAACACTGTAGACACGACCGGTAACGTTTCTTCTGTCCGTGTACACGTTTTTTACCCGTGGTTGGAAAATATGGAGTTCCCTTAGAATATACTGTACATACATTTTAGGCCGTATACAATTTACTAAACATTTTGGAACAAATCGCGGGCGTAATTTCAAATAGTTAAAAAAAAAAAAAGATAAATTATAATTATTGACCGTTCATACCACTTATGCTCTTAAAACTGTAAGGAGCTACACAAATTATATTTATTTCAGTAATTACGACTATACGAGTCGTATTACGACTCGTATTTATAAAATTCACGATTTCCCTACGATCTAAAATAGTAGTTTTTTTTAAATTTTAAATGTTTAATTTTCGTAATTTTTGTATAATATCTATTTCCCTATACACGGTAATATAAACCATAACAAATATACTTATAAAGTACCCAACGTAAGGCACAGTATGTTATGGTATAACCTCAAATACATTGACGTTAACACTACTGGTTGGAAACAGTGGCGTGCCCAGCGGGTAGGCCTAATAAACCCGGGGCTACTGTTTTCAAATAGTTATTGTTAATATTTGTTATATTATTATTTAATTTTTCAAGAAACATAATTTTATGCATTTTTTTTTTCAACATTTCATAAAAGCTTTATCACAATTGTTAAGAAGTTCAAAAAAGAAAAAAAAAGGCGGCAGACGCCAAAGGATTATAAAACCAATTTCGATCGTTTAAAGTATTATTTGTTTTAACATTTTCTTGATAAACTTTTATCAACTATCAACGTACTTTCAATGTATTTACAATCGTCTTCTCTCGATATAACTAAATTTTAAATTTAATTGACGCTACAATAACAGAGCTTCAATGTTTACGTTAAGAATAATTTTTTTAATACTATTATAAAAAAAAAAAAACTCAAATCACGGCTTCAAATATTTAAATATTTTTATGGATAATGATAAAAAAAAAAAAATAGACAAAAGAATATTAATAGCACACGACTGATTATATAATTACTTTAACAATTTGTTTAAAATGTAATAAAACTACGACTCAAAAATTGCGAGTTTCATATTTTACAGTAATTGATAATATATCGAGCGAAATAAAAAAAAAAGATTTAACAACAATTCTGAATTTTTAACTGCTATATCAGTATTCGATCCGATATCAACCAACTGTTTAAATGATAATTTTGTTTTAAAGCGTACAAATTGATGAGATGATGATTATTTCTCTGACTAAGTAGTAAGTCAAAGCAAATTACCGAAAAATATGTACAATATCTGTACAAATATCATGAGATTTTACAATGAAATATGCATTACGGTGCAGTCATTTGGAGAAATTAAAAACGTTATTAAACGAGTGTGAGTTATACCATTAAGTTCAGCACCAGCCGAAAGAAGTTTTTCCGAAATGAAAAGGATAAAAACTTATTTACGGATATATATGTCAACTGCACGCCTTCATAATTTAGCGTTAATTTCAAAGGAAATCCAGTCGGTGCAAAAAATAGGTCGTTTTTTGATTTTTTTGATTTTACAAGGGGTTTTTAAAACGATTTAAAGAAACCGGAAGCAGCAGTATAGGAAAAACGGCAAATATTTACAGCGGCAATACCGATTTAATTTTTGTAAACTATGTTTTTTGTCATAAATATTGCTCCAATAGAGAAACGACAAGGTACTTTTTTTATTTAATTTTTAATCTAGTTGAGTAAGTAATTTGTTTTTTCATTTTCCTGGCAGTTTTTGTAACAATTAGGAAAACCAAGAAATGACAAAAAATAAAAATTAATAAATTTACGGCACTAGGATTTCTTTATTTAAAATTTTTCAATAATTTTTATTTGTTAGGTACTCTGTCGATAAAATTTTTGACCAAATGGAAATGTTTGAAAATTTAACAGGAATTTTACACGATGAACCGTAATTTGTGGTTATAAAAAAAAAATTGGGCTGAATGCAGTATTTTTTTTTTTAAGAATTTTAATATCAAATTTTAATGAAAATCGTAAATATTACGGTCTTTTAAAACATGTATAACCGAACTTTCCTCCGAATCGTTTTTCATTAGCAATGGTTTATCATTGATTACTGATATAAATTAAATGATTATATGTGTACCACTTCCCCACTACCGAACTACAATTGCCGCCCGTCCCCAGTATCAGCTATTTTTTTCAATTTAGATTTTTTTGTTGCAATTCAGTAAAAAATATTTATAGAGTTTTGAAATTATGACAAAAAATTGATATTTTTTTTTTCTAGACGTGGTAAAATTTTAAAAACATTTGAGCTATTTTTTAACCGTTTATAGAAATTTTAATTTTGCATGTTTTTACGTAATTTTTATTTGGTATAGGTAGCGTATGGATAAAGTTATCGATTTGAAATTTAAAAATTCAGTTCATGCCCAAAATTAAAGGTAATAAAAAATAATGGTAATTTGAAATTTTAGAGCTGTACTCGTTTAATTCATTTTCAGAAAAAAAAAAAAATGTAGAAAAAGTTAATTCTTTTCTATATATCGCCATATCATTTATTTTTGAAACGTAAATTGGGATAGTTTATTTACTGTAATATTATATTTTGTGTGCTCTGGTTGCTCCTGTAGCCGTAGCGCCCGCGGTGCGTATGCAGCTCTCGCCGCTCCTCCCCCTCCCCGTCCTAGGCACCACTGTGTTTCCGACCGCTGGTTTTCCCCGCGTTATCGAAAAAATTTACCGGAAAACGTTGTCGTAAACAAATTCGTCCACAATGTATTGGAACATTTTATAAATTTTAGGTTGGGTACTCTTGTTTTCGTCCCGTCGACAACACGCGTGCGGTAATCTCGCGTCATTAACGCGCGCGCGCGACCTTGTCGTCCGAGGATCGTATACCTCTCGTATACCTACTCGTACAAGGCATTCGTCGACATTGTCGTCGAGTGCATTGGAATTATTTTAGTAGCGACTTTTACTCGGGTCACCGAGGGGTATGGAGGGGCGGGCGAAGAGTAAATGTATCGAAAATAATACTCGGACACGGCCGGATTCAATCGCGACAACGTTGCGTTAATGTTTGTCACCCCGGGAGTGTATCTTTAGCCCGAGCCAAGGCCGCCGTCG